ATGTGTTGATCCTTTTGGTATTAAAAATACAAATAACTGTGTGAGGATTCTGGTGTCAGTAATATTATGCTTTAAAACTGCTTTTAATTTCTATGCTGTGTTTGAGGGGGAACAGATAAAGCTTTATGTATCCTTGTTTATTGCCACAACATCTTGAATAGGGACTCATACATTCAGAGATCTGTCTCTATACTAATTATTATAAAACATAATCAGGAGTACTCTGCTAGATCTGTGGCAATTAGTGCTGGACCAGACACTTATACCCGACTGACTGAATATAGTTGAGCTGCAGTGCAGTGAAATCCCCTGAGACCTAATCATAAAACGGCCTTACAAGCAACAGTTAAAGCTATTTATTTAGACTATAGTTATCATTAAATTACAATGTACGATTAACATAGACATGAACATCACACTTAGTTGGTACAGTCAGTCAACGCTCTGTTTAAAAGACATTTTTCAACTAGATAAAGGAATAAAGGCAGCAATCATAAAACCTGTAGTTATTCTCAACTAACCTGCGACGATGATGGCACTCAGCACAATCCCTGCTGTCCAAACGCTCTTCATACTTGAGGTTTAAAAAAGCAACAATTGGCTCTAAAAAAAAAAAGTGCTGAATGGTCTAAATACCTGTTTTAGTCAAGTGTGTTTTAGTAGACTTAATGAGAAGACTTTGTTAAGACTGGCAGAAAAGGTAAGGAGCAAGAATGTGGTCCATCTTGTTTGGAGTTCCTGCGTGAAGAGGAAGTCGTTTTAAACAGAAACTCAGCTTGGAGGAAAAACTCAAAAACAATACATTTGAGCGTGAACAACTTTATTATTAACTTTTAACATGCAGCAAAAGGTTTCAAGCAGATAAAATATGATTTTGTAGTGGCCGAAGTCTGTCGATGTTCATGAGAATCGGACATGGACAGCAAGAACTTTATTACAGTACAATTTTAAACCATAGAGACTACAACAATGGGTTTTATACCAATAAAGGAGTGTATCCAAAGTAGGTCAATTACATTATTTCATGCGTGCATACAGAGAAAACATGCAGGCATGAATAGGATCTCTTTTGTTTCCTTTAAAGGCTCCATGTGCTCCAAATGGCCATTAGGGCGGTGCCCAAAGCAGCAGTGAGAGGGATGTGGATGGATGTGGCCCCGTAACAGCGGTCTTTGCTGCAGCAGGCCCTGGTGATGGTGTATCCTGCCGTCAGGAGGGTTCCCAATTCAGTTTTGTTGCAGAGAGATAAGGGCATGCAGCCTTGATGGTGCAGGGACATAAACTGACTGATGTTGAAGCAACAAATCAAAGACTGTTACTTAAAGGTCCCCTAGTATCTATATATTATAGGTCTCAGATATATACAAAACATGTCTCTGAAGTGTTTGGACTTATTTGTATTATAGGTAACTTTATCTTTAACCAAGCATTATACAAAAAAAAAATCATAATCTGCAGAGAACTGTTGACTAACTGCAGCTGCCAAGTAAAAGTTGACTGGAATTCAAAGTACATACTACATGTAGTAAAGAAGTTATAAATTAAGTGGCAGAAAATGGAAATCCTAAAGTATTATTTAGGTACCCGTAAAATTAAATATACTCAGCTGCTTTCTACCACCATGTCATGTGTATATCTATCTGTACTAGTCCAACCCAAGACAGCGTGTAATTAACGTTTCATCCTGTGGGTGGCATTAGAGGGTTTATAACGTTTGCTTTGGGCATGGCAGGTGCTCAGTTGTGCCATAGAAACATCAACAATGGCTTAAGAGCAAAGAAGAAGACTGAATCACCCAAACATGTTCCAAAGCAGTAAGAGTACATTATATGTTCATCATGCTATCTTCCTCAAAGGGCATAGGAGCTTATGATTGAACCCATTATGATTGAACCCATTTTAATACAAATTAAATGCATGTGACATGTAGGGATAATCTTTTCCAAAGCATGATGTCAATTTTTAGTCCAACATTTTGTGAAATATCTTCATTCACTTTATTGCTGAGAGTAAGATAAATATTAGACAGATCTCTATCACCATGTTTTGCTCTTATCAATATTGTAAACCAGATTCATTTTTTAAATGGGAACCGTTTCTTCTGAAGAAGTGACATTAAACAGTAACTATATATATATAAGTAGTTACTATATAACGAAATGTTTGGTGTATTTTTCAAGGAATTATCCTTTTACATGATTAAAAGTAAACCAGTCTGTATTCAGATGATCTACATCAGGGGTGTCAAACTCAATTTCCTCACGGGCCACATCAGTATTATGGTTGCACTCAAAGGGCCGGTTGTAACTTTAAGTCCAAAAATACATATATAAATATTGAATATATATAAAATAATGTATTATATTACACTTTTGCCTCTGCATTGGATTATTATTATAACTTCATAATTAACTACGTCTGAAAGCAGAAGTCTAGGGCAAATAATTGCAAGTCTCTTCAGTAAGAATGTTACAATATGATTTTAAAAGAAAAGTCACATTCTGGAAAAACAAAAAAAAAGAAGTCACATTTTGAAAAAGTAATTTTTGAGAAAAATGCAAATCTTAAGAAAAAAGGCATATTTAGATACAAAATCTAATTTGAGATGCGTTGTGGGACATGTCGTTTATGGGCAAAGTGCTTCTGTAAAGTGGCATGTAACCATATAATAAACATATTATATTCTTAGCAAGCTCTTGTGAGGCCACAGAAAATGAAGTTGCGGGCCGGATTTGGCCCCTGGGCCTTGAGTTTGACACCCCTGATCTACATCATAACCTTTATTTGTTTTTTCCAAGAAGCCTTTTAAAATCTACATGTAACTTTTCCTTTTTTTACAAAGATAATCCTCCTGCATGCATACATACATGTGAAAAAACGCCATAATCCAAATAAAAAATTGGTTTCTAATTGACACATAAACTCACCAGCCAAGAAAGGTAAATAAATCAGTTTCCAATAGATTGTTTTGAGGAAGGGCTGCAGTAAATGTATAAATGTCAATCGTCTCAATCATGCAAAACCAAGTCATGCCTCAAGATGGAGCAGAAAGTCATTGTTGATTGTTAAAGTTGAAACCTTTACATGCGTGGGATGTCCGGTCACACCTCAATCTGTACAGCCAGAACAAGTTTTTCATCTTCTGCAGTGTCTCACAGTGTGCGAATAGTGTTTACTGAGGCGGGATACTCCCATCACATGATCCATGAGTTGTTGCTCACCAATATCTGCTGAGAAGCAGCTGGGCTGAGTTTCGGTGCAGTACTCCGTGGAGCTATACAGACATCTCCCTTTGAAGCCCATTCTGCAGGTGTCAAAGAATATTTCTGTCTTTACTTCTAGATATTTAACCTTTTCTGTGTGGGGACGTTTTACGACCAAACCTGATTCGTTATCTCCTTTAAGGAATGTCCTGTTGCACTTAATCTCAGTTTTATGACCGGTCAACGCTCGGTCAGCCCAAGAGTATCTCCAGAATAATGGAGATATCGCCAGTGTTCCCAGGTGTTTACGGCCCATCCACGCCCAAGATGCGATAACTCTCTGTAAACTAGTTAAAAAGGTGCTAATCGAGAGAAGGGGCGCTGGGCAGAATTGATGTGGCAACCCACCCGGGCAGTCAGAACCTCTGGCTGCTCTGTGACTTGTGATGTGAATTTCTCCGGCCGTATACTTGTAATAAATACTTGTAATAAATATCAGTGTTTGACATCAAAGCTCCAACTCTCCTCGTGTCTCTCTGAGTCCTGACTCTCCATTGCTGCAGAAGTTTCCCTTACAGCAGGTGTGACAGATCAGAGACTCACCTGGGAGCCACGGAGAAAGAGAGACAGTGATAAAGAAGGGAGTGTTATTATTGTTATTAAGTATAAAATAAGTACACCTAGCTCTCATTAAAAAACCCTTACACAAACCCCCACTATAATAAACACAGTGTAGATATCATCTTCTCATCAACTCAATATATCACTTATGCTAAGTAGTACAAATAAAATAAACTTTCAGTAATTTAGTAAATGTCTTCATCTTTGTTTAAGTGGCTCTTTTTCATTCTGTGAGAGTCACAGGTACTTTTGTTTGTAATCCTTGATTGATTGATGATAGGAAGTATACAGCCGAGTTCAGCAGAGACCCCACAACAACATATTATCCTGATATTTAATCACAATACAAGGTAATAGCCATTTTTGACTTTTTGTGAAATTGCTGATTATTGCGTTTGCTAAACTGTGTGATTTCATATCATTTTTCTATTACAAAAGAGGTCGTTTAACTCCATTATCCATCCAATGAACCAGATTCAAGCTCCTTGACCTAAACACTAGGTTTTGTAAAGATATGAGCAGCAGTCACATTTTCTCCAGCTTGATACAGTTTATGGAATTAAAATGTACTTCCATGTCAGAATAACAAAGTGTCCACTGTGTTAAATATCTTTTGCAGCATGAGATGAGAGTTTATTGTCATAAATTCGCTGTAAGCGGATTTGGACTATATGTTTGCTCGTTCAGGATGTACGAACATTGTCACAGATAGTTTTTTGATTAATGAGACATTGTCAAAAGTATAAGAATAAAGAAATAAAAAGAGGAAAGAGTTTCCCCACACTGTATGAGCATAGCAGGAGTTTCCAGTTATTTGTGGCTTTCAGTTTTCAGCCTAAGGCCTCATAGTTTGCATATTAGAAATACTAAAGTCATGCGTACTCAGAACAAAAGAAAAATGTTTAAGAACATGAGAGTATTTAGAAAATCAACACAGTCTACCAAATTAACTATGAAATACATTGCCATCATTTCGTACAAAACATATTTCCTGATCAGCAGTTGTTATTCACTTTTACAGGAGCATGTCGTATTTGCTGAAATTAGTAATGCTCTGGGAGGACATACATTTGAAAGCTTTCTATACACTCTTTGGCATTCATTGTATCCTGGTAGAGATAAACACAACTATTTTATTTGTATCTCTTTACAAATAAAATAGCCTACAAACTTAATTTCAACATATTCAACATATCAGAATATCTCTTAAAAACATATGAGATCAGTCTGAGCTGTGGATACGAGCTGCTACAAATAAAGATCTAGGATATATAAAAGATATAACTCAAAAAGTAAATTATGCCTCTGTGTGTGTACACATTTTATTTACACGTATGTTTGATCAGTTGTGAACTTCTGAGCAACAACACATGCATTTTCTAAAGCTTCAGACAACAAAGCTTCAGTCTAAAATTATTCAACAAATATTAGGATCTTTTGTAAAATCAACGAGGGGACACTCCCTTCATGGAGCTAAAGAAGGATGGCATAATATGGTGATAGAAGATGCATTGTTCATTCAAGGAAAAGTAAAACAAAATTATCTCAATTCAAATCTTAACTTTCAATTGTACAATAAAATTGAGGTTGAAATATAGATTGAGAATACAAATTTGACTTTTGACTGAAATTTCAGACCATGAGCATGATGAAAAGTTAATTGAAAAGTTGGTTTTATCTTACGCTGCCATGCTTGGTCTTCTGAAGAATAATTCAACATTTCGAAACAGCATTAACTTACATCAAAGAAAGGGAGGACATTCTTCAAAAATTATCTCTGTTTGAAGTCTTAAAGTTTACTTTCTTGCAGGTAGTCAATTGTGTGAAAAACTTGCATTTCCGAATGAACTTTAAATGTAGGTGTTGGATGGGATAGGTGGGAGATGTTGGAGCAATACTTTTTAGGAAAAGAATGGAGGAAAAAGTTTGCTTCAGTTGTAACATTGTAAGTCTTGTATCTCTTTTTCAATAAAAAAAGCAAAAAGGTAGAATGATACCTCTTTGTTTGTTTAACATCTGCTTTTACTACCTTGTCTCATAGAAAGTGTGCTAGTATTATATGAGTAATTTGGGAGGCTTTGCTCCAAATAAACACAGATAAACAGAAATAAAAAAAACTTTATTGTTGCAACCACCAGTGGTGAGATAAGGTTGCTTTAAGCACTAAATAAATCAAACACAATCCAGCCAATACAAAGGTCTCATGCATGTCCGATTATTTTTAAATCAAATTAAGTATATATGTAAATGAAGGAAAAAGCCTATTCAGTCCTACCATGTGAAGAAATATGCAGCTACTATCCCTCCATCATATATCATCGGGACACATCATTAAAGCACTAAGAATAAATGAAAGGACTAAAACATCTATATGTGCAGCAACATGTTTTCTTCCTGCTACAGTGGTCTTTAAAGGCCCCACTGACTCCACACTGCCACCAGAGCAGCAGCCAGAGCGGCAGTGAGGGTCAGCGGGGGGGCGGCCGCTGCGTTGCACAGGTTGTTGCTGCAGCAGGTCTCCGTGATGGTGTATTTCACGTTCAGGATGGACCCACTACTGTTGATGCATTTTGAACGTTCTGTGCAGCCACGCTCATGGATATCCAACAGGTCGGAACTAAATTCTGGAGGAAGCAAAGAGGAGAAACTTGATGTTTTTTAAACACCTAAAGAAGAGTTTATACGGGAATTAACACATATTGTGACAATTGTTTAGTTTTTTTAGCATATATTTTATTGGACCCATAGCAAAATATAGATATAATACAAATCTGCCCTTTATTTAAGTTATTCAGATATGATACACAATAATTCACATTTAAAATCCACACAATTATTTCTAATGACTCCTGCTGATAATCTCTCCCTTTATATATTTGATCAATATCAGTTTTTCTCCCATTTAATTAATACATATTTTGTCGAATCACGTTGTTTTAACCCAATTCCTATGTATTTTATTTTATTTGTTAATACAAATACGGCTATATGAGAATTAATTAATTATGTCAGGTAGTTCTGTTATTCTTTTTTACAGCTTTTAACAAGGCAGGCCTGGTCAGTCAATGCTTCAGGTGACATTCTTAATCAACAGCAAATCAAATTTCAGTGCAGTTTTCCCCCATCTAATGTTGTGGTTATGAGACAAACACTGTGTGTGTTATTGGGCATTTTTTTTCATTGTAGAAAGATGATTAATGAGTCATTAGCTGTTCATCTTACTGGCAACTGCAACGAAGCATCTGTCCTGAGCTTCGGTGCAATTTACAGCTTTCTCGATCAAACAGTACCCCAGGATTTTCACATTACAGCTGTAACAGGAGAGCGCCTCAACTGTGGAAACAAAAAGCGAACAGGAAATAGGAAAAAGGAAAATTTTTAGATCTCAGAGTGTGAACCCTTTGTTATGTACTGAAGGAAAACAAGTTTAACCAAAGCCACATATATCTGACTCCATTCAGGCGAACCTTTATCAAACAAGCACTGGCTGTAATCACAAAGTACATATCGAGAGTCGCTTTCATGACCTTGCAAGGTGCCTAAATCCAATACATGTGTATGACATTGACGTAGGTTTTAACATTTGAGCCAATCCACAAGGTTAAACATTTGACATCTGCAAAATACAGTGAAAACTCTTACCTGTAACAAAGAGAGTGAATAATGCTGCACAGCTCCACAGTAGTTTGCTCATGTTTTTAGATGATTCGGCAGGTAAAAATGCCACAAGTTGGTCAGCCTCTTATCCTTAAGCGCTTACTTTCAGAAGCAGTCACAGTCAGGGTCAACATCTTTATACATGGGGGAGTTATCAGTAATACTGTACGGATCAACAGTACTGATAAGAACCTTTGTGAGGGTTGAATGTAACAGGAATGAAGATAACAGAATCCTTTATTAGTAATGTATTACAATGGGGACATTCACAGTTAAAAAAGGGTGCAACAACGAGAGGAAGTACAAAATTATATTATTAAGTAAACAGTAGAGTGAAACAAAGTCAGAAAATATAGTAAACAGGCTGAACCCCATCCAAATTATTGCATATATAATTGCTGGTTGTGCAGTCTGACAGCAGCAAGAATGAAAGCCTTGCCATCAAACCCTCCTTTCTCCAATTACCTCCACTCAATGAAGTGCCTATCAGGGGACTTAAAGCTGGCCTTATTTATCAATTCAATTTCTTTCAGCAGTCGAAATGTGACTTAGCACATGTTATTAAAGATGGCTAATACTGCAGTTTCTTTATTGAGAAGTCTATTTTGTTCTGTAGTTTCCATGTCATGTGTCAGTGAATGAATGCAGCATTGTATTACTGCGCTAGAAAAGAAAGACCCACATATTTTGTTCTATTGAGTGGATGGTAATATTCAAACAATCACTAGCCATTAATCTGGTGGACAGAAAGGTACATTTGTATACCCTAGTTACTCCATAATTAATCATTCGTTGTGATATTTTTTGTCCCTTTGCTACGTACACATCCTGTATCGTTTCCATGAATTGGATCCATCTATTCATTGCTTTAAACAAACTATATTGGAAGGTTAATTATTTTTAAGCTGATGTTGCTTTTAATATGATTGTTACTTTTCAACCATTCAAGTGGTATTTTTTGGGAATCAGTGAAGTAGAATATTGGAAGTAAAATAATATTGTGTACTCTGTGTTAAGTGTGAGTTTGAACGTGAATGGCCAGGCGTAATCTGCCTCTCGGCCAGCAGCGGTCTGACATTAAATGGATGCATGTTAAAATAAGAACAATAGCAGAGACAACAGATTTTCTTCAACAATTCTTTATTTTCACATCTTACTTGTCCAGTAAGACACAGATTAGTTAAAAGGATAAATAAAAAATGATTTAAAAAGAAAGAAATATAACAGCGTAGAAGATTTACAATCTCAATGTTCCCCTGAAACATCCCATTGATCAACTTCCATGATCTGGACACCTTAGTTTGAGATGTTATATAACTTGTCATCAAAACTAAACTCCCTGACATGACAAGACCTGAGTTATGAAAAATAAAGAGTCTCTAGGCATATGAGCATAAAGATAATCAATCACTCATATCCAAAGATATTGCTTTGGGTCATGTGAAAACCCAGAATGGTGTAATTTTGTACTAAAACATCTATATCAAATGCATTTTAGGAGCGGCTGTTTTTGTGATTTTTTAAAATCATGTTACAGGATGCTTCCCAGCATGGAGGCCATGGCGGCGACACCAATGACGGCGGTGAAGGTCATCTTGGTGGATGGGGCGCCGCTGGTCTTGATGGGGTTGCACTTGTCTGCTGAGCAACAGTCGACTTTGACTAAGTAGTTGACACCGGCCAAGGTACCATTGGTGGTGGCGTTGCAGCCGCGGGGCTCTTGACACCCCTGGGTGTTGAAGCCCACAGAGGTCAGTGCAGTGAAGGCTGAGGAGAAACGGTTGAGTGGTATTAAGAGTTACAGAGGTGGAAATGAACCTATTATTTGATCAGACAATGTTTTCAGGTACAGGTAATAATTTGAGTGTTTATATGTTTAACTGCAATTTCTTTACTAGTATATCCATTAGAGAATGGGAACATTTATATATGTTGTATTACATTTACATTGACAGTTTTTAGTCGTTGCTGTAGTTTTATTTAACCATGTGAATTAATTGGTAGTTTGCACACTGCTTTTTTGTTGTACACTGTCTCCTCCCTTCACTTGTTCATTTATTTTCAATTGATCTGAAACCAAAACCCCACAAACTGGAAATACAAGTTTATTTGTTTCAAGACAATAAAAGTACTTCTCTACTTTCAGCAACTTCCAAACTAGCATGCAGGTTTTGAAGGATACGTAAAATAACATTGTTGACATAATGGAATTAAAACCCTATATTCACCCCCAAAAATGGATTAAGGAATCACTACTTTGAATAAGCTTCAAGGGAAAACATGTGTATATAGTAACATTTGGGTGTGTCTGTTGATCTATGTGTCACAGTATTTGGGAGTGGTTTTAATTTAGTCATGTGTTTTTGTTGCATAATGTTTGAATGTAAAGGGGGTGCACATTAGGCAATTAGGAGTTGACTTACTGGCTCTTCCGGTGTAGCAGACGCTGGTGTTGGTTGTGCAAGTCTTTGTGCTGCTGCTGAGGCAGTAGCCCAACAGACTATAACTGCATTTGTTACAGTCCAGGGATTCAGCTGAAACAGAAAATAATATCATTTAAAGTTATTTCAGAACAGTTTGATTAAACAACTACCTGTGTCTCAAACTGAAACAAATAATCAACAAAACACTGAACTTTATTTTAACTGACTGAATAAAAACATTAATTGGGGGACATTTGTTTAGACTTTTCTGAAATGTACCCATAATACACTTGTTTTCAAAGAGTGTATGTTTATCGGTTAGGTTTAAGTACAGGTTGGCTAACATTGTTTTGTGGAATTTGTGACACACCACACCCTGTGCTGTGTCACAATTAAAAGACGTCAAACCCCGCCCTGGTAAACAAGCAATCAAACTCTGACTGAAGTATGAGGAAACATCATGCCGATTTCATCAAGACTGTTTTGGATACTCAACATCACGGAAAATATCAGGTATGAAAGGATGCAACTCGGTGATTCACACTTTCAGCAGGTTGTCAGGTTATTTGGAGAATTTAAATAGTCAAAGGGCTCTGATTTTTTAACTCATAAAGAAAACAAATTGTTTGCGTTTAATGGATATTCTCTCCTTCAAATAAATACTCCCTTTAAATATGTCATTTCAGTTTGATTTGTCCCAAGTAATTGTGTGGTCGGAAACATAAGTTGTGAGATTTCTCCAAACTGTTGTTGTTTTGAGCAAATTTGGTTGAATTGACCCCTTTAAAAAGTATTTCTCAGGAAACTTTGAAATGTGCTAATTTTCACCGAAACACACCACTGTCCCATCAGTTTGGGCAAAGGAAATTATTCCTAAATGTGCTAAACAAGCTGAATTCACCTGTGATATTTGTCTTGCTATAATCAACAATTGAGTGATAATACATTAAATGAACCAATAGGAAGAAAATGTGTCAAAATTCAGTAAAAGCTTATGAAAAAGGAGAGAAAAGTGTTCCCGCCTTTTTAGTCTATCAAGTATACCAAAACGTTTTCAAGATTTTTTTTACCATACTTTGTTTGACATCTCTATTTCCAGTAATATATTTTGTGGTCAAATATTAATAGTTGTTAAAGCTTACCCAGCATGAAAAGTGCAACAACTGCAATGATTCCAATAACGATCTTTGCCATCTTGTCGTGTTGGTTTGTTCTTGGTTGCTGCTCGAAGAGAAAAAGAAAATCCTTCCTGTGATGCTGATCGATGAGGCCAGATATTTATACAGTTCAGACACAGGTAGGGAGGGGACAAGAAGGGGGTTTTCAGGGCCTTTGTCCTCACCTTTGGGGAAGAGCCAACGGAGGGATGTGACAGATGATTGAAGCAGCCATTGTAATTAGTCATGAGCTGTAGGAACTGCCTAAGCCAGTCATTCAAGTTAAATAATCAGTCAGTATCTGCGCATTGAATCACGAGATTGTATTTTCACAATGAGTGCTTTTTTGTTGCCATTTTAATTGATTAATTGTCAGTAAAGAATATATTCATATTTATTTGTTAGAACAGAAGTGGAAAACCTGGAAACACCCAGTTTAAGATGACATCTTTCCACTCTGTGCAAACAAAGCCTGAGAATATCTGTTGTTTGAGTTTATAAATAATTTCTCATTTATTATCAATTCACTAATTCAAAAATATGTGGAATAAGTTTTTATAAAAAAAGATGTTGGTTTATGAAATATTTGTTATGAGTATGTTAACTTTGACTTTATTAAAGCTCCCAGATGCTAAATGTCAGACTGCATTTAAAAAAAAAAAAGCATTGGGTGATAAAATGATGATTTATGGCTTAAAGCTCTTTGTTTGCATCATTGCTTTAGATGCCCTCATGCAGCAAAAATGAATGTTGTGTGCCAACACCTGGAATTAGGAGTGATGACGATCTTCATTCCAGTCTCCGGTGTTCGGCGCTGAAACCTGAAGAACCAGTCGGTCCTGCAGGGAGGCAACGAGCCAGTGATATTTAGAAAGAAGAAACCAAATCACACCACTGACGCCACACAAGAGTTTTGTGTTTTTTCCCAATTTGGATATTTATTGACATCTTCAATGTTTATCTATATTAGCAAATTCGCCAAAATGTTCAGACGCTTTCGTGGAGAATAATGCCAAAAGTGTTGGTTAATTACATTTGATAACGATTTGTGTAAAATAGAGTATATCTAAAAAATCAGCTGTGACATTTGGAATGCTGCAATCTCGAATACATTTCAAAACCTGCAAACACAATCAGATTGAATCACATTATTCTCATATACATTTTAAACCAGGAAAGATAACCGTTTACAAGTAAGAATGGATTTTAAACAAATATTTTAAAATGAAAAAAACAAACTGAAATCTTTTCAAAAGATTTACATGATGTTAGAAACAGTTATAAACCAAAGGCCATCAATGAAGTGAATAGAAAAATAAATGTTCATAGAAGCTTTGAAATCCATACGTTTGCGATATTATGCATCTAAAATGATAATACAGTGGGTTAAAAGCAATAAAGTGAGGGAATTGTCCAACATTTTGTTTAATGCGATAATTCCTCTACTTGCATCGAGTCCGATGAGAAGAACAACTTTAAATTTGTGTACTGTAGTAATTCTGATCTTTTAAAAATTCAACTCATTTCACACAAACAAAACCCAAAATGTTGGACTATTCCTTTAACTTATAACAACTCTGTAACAGAGTGAAATGCCTAACCTGTGATTTGTCAACTAAACTTTACACAAACCCAAATGAATTAAGCAGATGGGGGGGATTCTTAAAATCATATTTCATGTCTTGTGCTAATCTTTAAATAGTCTATGAACTAACATTTTAATATCTCTTGAATTGAAATGAGGATAGCTAACTAATTAATCTAAAATCCAAGACATGATCGATGCAGAGGAAAAAAATCACGTGTAAGCAGATAAGTGAAACATTTTAGTGCTGGTGTGTGTACAATATGTAGTGTGTGTGTTTTATGGCTGTACGTGTCGTCTGCGTTTTTCGGTCAAACCAGGATGTTGGCCATGAACAGAGCAGTGACGGTGGCGAGGGCCAGGCTCACCCCGGAGGCCCCGGGCAGGCCATGAGCAGCGTTGCACAGGTCGGTGTTGCAACATGTCTTGGTCATGCTGTACACGGTGGTGTTGGAAGAGGAAATGGAAGTGGGCAAGTCTGTGTTTTCGGTCATGTTGCACTTAGCCACCTCTAGACAGCCCTTCTTCTTAATGTCCACAAAGCCAGCTGTAGAGTGACAGCAAACACACACAATCAGCGTCTATTGTTAAAAGTGTTGTGCAGTGCGAGGCACCCAATGTGTTAGTTGGCTGACCTTGACACACATTTCCAGGAAAATCACATAATTCATCTAGGGTAAAAATCCATATGGAACAAAAAACTTTAAACTATTTCATTAAAAAAAACTCTTATCAAGGTCTGGATCTAAATACGTTTTTTTAACTACTTTTCCAGGCAGCCATTGGTCTTATTCATTTCGTTATGATTTTAAAAACAATCAATTAGCAGCTGAAGCTTGTTAAGGAAAATAAAGTTACTAAATCATTGACATAAAGTTGACGCAGGATTTTTGTTCACTATGATGTATTTCACAAGGTCCAATCTTTCAATCGTATAAATGGAACATAAAAAATGCACAAAGGTGAGTTTGTCTAGAGCCGCAACTGATGACATTTTAATTCATGTGTTTTTAAAGTTGAATATTTACTTTGATCTTGCAAACTTTATACTTTAGTGCAGGGGTCGGCAACCTTTATGATATGAAGTGCCATTTTAAAAAATAATTGTTATCAGCGTGCCAACGATCGAGAATTATCAACGGGGGGG